AATTTCCTACAAATTGCTTCCACATTGGAGCAGTTCGGTGACTTGAGGGAGATGAAGGCCGAGGAGATGTTTGGCCGGCTCAAAGCACATGAGGAGCGGCTGCGAGGTTTTGGCGACCGCGGCCATGGCCGGGGACGTAGGCATGGCAATGAGGAGCACTCCAACGACTCTGGCAAGAAGTATCACAAGTTTGACAAGGCGAAGGTCCGCTGCTATAACTGTCAGAACCATGGTCACTACGCCTCTGAATGCCAGAAGTCAAAGATGGAGGAGAGAGCCCGCTTTACTAAAAAGCAACACGACGATGAACCTGTATTTCTCCTAACCGAGGTGTGTGAGTCCATCTACACGACTCAAGAAGAGGGAGAAAATATGATGTTTCATGAAGAAAATGTGAAGCCTAGACTGAGCAGTGAAGAAGTGGTCTTCAAGACCGACATTTGGTACCTGGATACTAGTGCTAGCAACCATATGATTGGTTGTAGGAAGAAATTCTCAGACCTTGATGAGAAGGTGTGCGACAGAGTAAAATTCGGAGATGGCTCGGTCGTGGAGATACAAGGGAGAGGAACTGTCGTACTTCAATGCCAGAATGGTGAGCATAGATTTCTAACAAATGTGTATTATATACCAAATCTATGCAGCAATATCATGAGTCTTGGGCAGCTGGACGAAAATGGGTGCAAAATAGTAATGGAGGGAAGTCATATGCGCATCTATGACAGGAGCAACAAGCTCTTAGCCAACGTGAGGAAATCCAAGAATAGGTTGTACATGCTCAACCTCAAGGTGGCTCATCCAGTGTGCTTGATGGGAAGTCTAGGAGATGATGTGTGACGCTGGCATGCTTGGTATGGGCACTTGAACTTTCCAGCTCTGAGGAAGTTGGCCCAGAAGGAGATGGTGTTCGGCATGCTGCCGTAGAGCACGTGACACAGATCTGTGATGGTTGCATCATTGGCAAACACCACAAAAATCCCTTCCCTCACAGCACAAGTTTTTGAGCCGACAAGCCGCTTGAACTCGTACATGGTGACCTCTATGGCCTGATCACACCGGTTATGCCGGCAGGTAACAAATATTTTATGCTACTAGTAGATGATTATAGTAGACATATGTGGGTAGTAATGCTGAAAAACAAGAGTGAGGCATTTGGTGCTTTCAAGAAGTTCAAGGCGAGTGTTGAGGCGGAAGCTGAGAACAAACTGAAGGCATTTCGAACTGATCAGGGAGGTGAATTTACCTCAACTGAATTCACCTCTTACTGCAAAGAGCTAGGAATCAAACGATACCTGACTGTTCCGTACTCTCTTCAACAGAACGTTGTGGTCGAAAGGAGAAACCAAACAATGTTGGGCATGGCAAGATGTCTATTGAAGAGTAAGCATGTACCGACGGTATACTGGGGGGAAGCTGTGAGGACTGTGGTATATTTGCTTAAGCGAGCGCCGACTCAAAGTCTGGAGGGAATGACACCATATCAAGCATGGACGGGAAGAAAGCCAATTGTCCAACATTTGCGAGTGTTTGGTTGTGTGGCACACGTCAAAATAGTAAGCCCACACTTTAAGAAGCTGTCCGGTAGAAGTGTACCGATGGTCTTTTTCGGCTACGAACATGGTTCAAAGGCATACCGGGTATATGATCCAGACCAGAAGAAGATGCACGTGAGCAGGGTCATAATCTTTGATGAAGATAGAGAATGGAACTGGGAGTCTTCCACCACACAAAGTCACAAGGTGTGCAACTCAAATGAGGTGTTTACAGTGCATTATGAGCCGGCGCAAGCAGAAGCTGAGCAAGAACCAAGAACCCCAGCCCCCTTGGTTATCTCGGGCATTGGTGGAACTCCAGGAAGCGATAACGAGATAGCTACATGTACACCAAGAACTGACAATAACACTGTTGCACACGAAGGTACACCTGATTCCTCAACAAGTTCTGAAAAACCTTTGAGATACCATAACTTGCAGGAAATATATGATGAGACCCGTGAGGTGGAAGGAGAGGCAACACTGTGTTTCCTCTCCTCGAGGAGCTGACAACTTTTGAAGAAGCTGAGGACAGTGACTGTTGGAAGAAAGCTATGGCAGAGGAGATTGCGGCCATACAAAGGAATCACACCTGGGAACTTGCTGATCTTCCGAAAGGGCATCGGAAAATTAGTCTGAAATGGGTGTATAAAGTCAAGAAGAATCCGGAAGGTGATGTGGTCAAGTACAAAGCTCGACTCGTGGCAAGGGGTTTGTGCAAAAGCAAGGTGTGGACTTCAAGGAAGTATTCGTACCAGTCGCAAGGCTTAAGACAGTGAGGATGTTGATCACTTTAGCGGCACAAGAAGACTGGGAGGTTCATCACATGAACGTCAAGTCCACCTTTCTAAACGGCGAGCTAAAGGAGGAGGTCTATGTGGCACAACCGAAGGGGTTTGTAAAAGAAGGCCATGAAGAAAAAGTACTAATGTTGAAGAAAGCATTGTATGGCTGCGACAAGCTCCCCGCGCTTGGAATTCAAAACTCGGCAAATGTCTTCAGTCACTCGGTTTTGAAAGGTGTCCTCTCGAGCATGCAGTGTGCAAGAAGTAGCAAGGTACTGCAGTTCAAATTGTGGGGGTTTATGTTGATGATCTCATCATCACCGGATCAAATGTAAAAGACATTGTGCAGCTCAAGGAGAAAATGAAGAGATTGTTTGAGATGAGTGATCTCGGGCTCTTGAGTTACTATCTTGGAATTGAGGTGAGGCAGGATCCGAATGCAATAACAATAAGTCAGTCGGGATATGCTATGAAGATCCTAGAGAAGCTGAAGTTGGAAAATTACAACCATTGCCAAGTCCCCATGAAGCCGAGAATGAAGCTGAGCAAGACGGATGTGAGCCCTCCAATTGACACTTTCATGTACAGAAGTATCGTCGGGAGTCTACGGTACTTGGTAAATACCAGGCCAGATCTTGCATACTCTGTTGGGGTGGTGAGTAGATACATGGAAGCTCCAACTACAGCTCACATGGCAGCAGTGAAATAGATACTACTGTATGTGCGAGGTACCATCAATCATGGATGCGTCTATGCAAGAAGGAAGGAGTTAGAAGCTGGGTTGATAGGGTATAGTGATAGTGATCTCCCTAGTGATGTCGATGACCGCAAGAGCACCACGGGAGTCATATACTTTCTTGGTGCAAGCCCAATCAATTGGGTGTCACAAAAACAAAGAGTGGTGGCACTATCTTCTTGTGAGGCGGAATATGTAGCTTCCACAACGGCTACTTGCCAAGGAGTTTGGTTGGGTCGCCTGCTTGGAAAATTGATTGGGGAGAAGAACGTGACAGCAGTTCTCAAAATCGATAACAAGTCAGCCATTACTCTCACGAAGAACCCGGTGTACCATGATAGAAGCAAACATATAGACACAAAGTATCACTTCATACGTGATTGTGTCCAGAAGAAGGAGATCGAAGTGGAGTATGTGAAAACAGTAGAACAACTTGCCGACATGTTAACAAAACCTCTTGGGTGTCAAAGACTCGTCGAGCTACGGACCAAGATCGGGGTAAGAAATGTGAAAAAGATACAACAATTTTAAGGGGGAGAATGTTGATTTAAACTTGTTGCGTGTGTACATGATACTGTGCACGAGTGAGTGTGTGTTAGTGTGTGGTTTGAATTCTGAGTGTTCGTTGTCAATTTGTTAGAGGGAGGACCGAGTCTAGTGGAGTTATTATAGCAGCGAGTAAGTTATGAGTTGAACGTTTCTTGTGGAGTTGTTAGCTTCACCACATTACACATGGTTGATTTTTTTCTTGTATATATAGTTGGGCTCTGCTGTGATGAAGAGTATCCCCAGCTAATATCTCCATCATTTAATAAAAAGGAAAAGTGTCTTCCCACTTCCTCTTGTCTTTAAACCTGCAGAGAAGAGTTGAGTCCTTGCAACCCATGCTTTGACAAGATTTAGGTTCTCATGTTGTAAAGCATTTACAAGTGCAGGGAGCTTTGATTTCTAAACTTTACCCAATGCTTCTCTATGAATATGTTTTGCAATTTGATCTGTGTATAGATTTGCAAATTTATGGTTACAAGAGATGCTACCAACCTGATGACTTTATCATATCCTTGGAAATTAGGATGCTTTTATGAGCTCAAAAGAATAAAGTTTCTGGAGGCATCATGCATCACTACCACATATTTGCTCTAACGCAACGGTTCAAAACCGTTGCGTTAGCCATGGAACCGTCGCCCTTGAGCAAGTGCGACGGTTCTCAAACCGCCTCATATACTGCCGTTGCCCTACCTCTACCGTAACGGTTTTGAACTCTATTGCGACGGTTTTTTGAACCGTTACCCCTGCATCTAACGCAAGTTACAATAACGGTTTTAATAGGCTATAGCTATGGTTCTCATAGAGCTACGGCGAGAGTTGGAGCTATTGCAACAGTTTTAAAAGATCTAACGCAACGGTTTTAGTAGGCTATAGCTATGGTTTTGATAGAGCTACGGCGACAGTTGGAGCTATTGCAACAGTTTTAAAAGATCTAACGCAACGGTTTTAGTAGGCTATAGCTATGGTTTTGATAGAGCTACGGCGACAGTTGGAGCTATTGCAACAGTTTTAAAAAACCTAACGCAACGGTTTTAGTAGGCTATAGCTATGGTTTTGATAGAGCTACGGTGACAGTTGGAGCTATTGCAACAATTTTAAAAGACCTAACGCAACAGTTTTAGTAGGCTATAAGTATGGTTTTGATAGAGCTACGGCGATAGTTAGAGCTATTACAACAGTTTTAAAAGACCTAACGCAACAGTTTGGATTGAGCTATCGCAACAGTTTGGATCGAGCTATCGCAGCAGTTTTGATCGAGCTATTGCAACGGTTTTAATCGAGCTATTGCAACAGCTCAATCGGACTTGTTCTTGGTTTCCTACGTCAAAATAATATAGTATTCAATTACCTGGACAATCTTTTTAAGAACATGGTCAAGTCAAATTTTAATACACAATATAAAAGTGATTATGTTGAGCATAATCAACCATAATGATAAGTGCCAACATACATCAGTATAGTATAAAAACTACAAAGTATTAAATCCACACTACCAACATTTCAACTCAGAAAATATCGTACCGAACTAACATTCAAACAATGTACATCAACATTTGATTACAAAACATGAAACTTCTCGGTCAAAGACTATATTCTCTATTTGTTTCCAAAAACTTGTTCCTCAATGTCAAATACTCACTAGGAACCTGTCAGTATCAATCTCAATCTTGGCTTTCATTATTTCTGTACCTGTGTAAATTTCCATGAATCAGCGTAATTTTTGCAATGATGATAATAAAATTGGGGAAAAAAGATGTTTGAAAAGGAAGTTAAGAGAACATATTGATCCATGAGTACCAGAAGCGTGATGAAAGGAGCAAAAAATTCTCAAGACATAAAGCATACCGATTCCTCCTGCAAAAGTACTAAAATCTGAGAAATATAATAAAGTCGCATAGATACAAAAGAAGTAATCTTAGCAGCAATTTATACTAGGAAGTTCTTAAGTTGATGAGTATTCAGAGCGTCAGAATGTGTTGGTTCTAGAAAGGAAAATACCTTAAATTTCTAAAGTAGTTCAGCAGATGTTAGAAAATCTAAAATCTAATGCATGGAGGTCCAATATTCAAACTGAGGCATTATATGATAGTTGAAATTGTAAAGAGAATCATTAACTTCTCTGTGCCCCTCCCCCCTCTTTTTTCTGGGGGCGACGGATTTGCATACAACAACCTCACCCCTAACCACCGCCATCATAACACCCAGCACGCTGACTCTCAACATTATTTTTTTGTCCATGTATGTAACCCCTTATTCCCACTATTCTTCACACTGGCCTCTACTGTTACTCCAAAACTCGGCGAAAGAACAGAGGTTTATTATGCCCACAAAGAAATTACAAAGCCCATATCAGGTGGAAGTCGTCTTATTTCATCTGACACAAAGTACATAGCAATAACTAAAACATACGACAATTAGTCTTTTAGTAATCGAGCAATTGAAAATTCATAATGCAAAAAATGCAAAAGGAACCAAGGTGTTTGAATTCATGTAGAAGGCTCCACAAGCAGGAGCAAAAGCCCTAGCAGTTGCAGTTATTTGTCTCTTGCATTTAGATTATAAGATTGTAATTCCATCATAATCTAACTGCTTCATAGAGATCGTGATCCTATTACATCAACAAGTAGAAGCCCTAATTATGAAAATAAACTTACAGTTACAGATGACAATACTAACATGTAACCATTTGTATATTTCACATAATAAATGTACTGCATGTTTATCTGCTGGGAGAAAGATCCTTGGTAATAAATGTATGAGTTTACAAGTACAAAGCTAATGCAATAGCATGAAATAGCATGAAATAATAAAATTGGGGAAAAAAGATATTGCAATTATTCAAAATAAATAGCTTAACATAAAGGAAATAACCCACCTGCATCAAAACCTTCCATTTGAGTAAAATAGGTGGCTATAGATTGCTAAGGGTCTCCATCAAACAAGCCCTTTTGCTTTTCATTCAAATGACAATTCCTGCATTGAAGTATGGGACTTTCATTAACATTTTTTGAACTACAAATAACCATTTTCTGCAAAAGATTTGACAAAAAAATATCAACAAAAATAAAATGTCATTATGGTTAAACATCATATCTACACACATGTTATGCAATCAAATATTTTGTGCCACAATTTAATCAAAAATTCCAGCTTACTCGTAGCAGCTTAACAAGACCCTGAATCCATCAAAACTAATTAATAATACTTCAAACAGATTTGACCAATCTCATATTATTCAAACGCGTTAACATAGCCTCCGTCTAATTTGGAAACTTGCAAGAAATAACAAACTGAATTCAAAATTAAGCAACCAATAGTATTTGATCTTATGATTTTTGCTTTTTAAGCATTGTGCGCTTGGTAGCTAACCTCCTTCTCATCTACTTTAAGCTTATAAATGTTCCTTACTTACTTCATGCCCATCTCCTTTTGCAGCATGAATTAGGCTGCCAAAACAATGAGGCTTGTATTGATTTCCAAACTCCTTGCACCCAACATCCAACGTGGGATGAAAATTTCTCATATTCAGCCTATAATCAAATGACTTTCTAGATATTTATGATTAAGAGCACATCGCAGATTAAATCGCCTCATCTACACCTTCAGTAGCACTTAATCGCCTCCCGACTATTTTTGTAGCACTAAACACACTGGATTCATAAGGGAGAGGGGACAACATTTTTGTAGCACTAAACACGCTGAATTATTTTCGACAAAACTTAAAAGGAGAATAGCTCAATTAGAATCACTGATATATTATTACTGTAGCAAAATCAGAATGTAGCCACATCAGAGGCAGAAGAACACAAAGGAGAGCGAGAAGAAAGCAACGAGGAAAAAGAAGAAGTAACTGAAACGAGTCAAGAAAACACTACAGAAACCAGTTCAAGAGCTAAGAAGGCTAAGAAATGTTTGAGTGATCGCCCGTCCCCGGAGACGCACACGTCCAGGATGTTCTTTTTTATTGACAAGATGCCATGCATCTACATTTTCTCCTTCAGTTTGTTCCTGAGTTAGCTCTTGAGTTAGTTGTTCCAATGTATCAATCATTTCTAGTGTTTTTTCTGGTTGTGCTTTTTTCTTCTTTTTACGAGTCTCTAGAAACACTTCTGCATCTGTAGGAGGCCGGTTCAATTCCTTTTCCTACAATGAAACAACATATCAATCATTTAGCCATTCATTGCATGTCTAAATCATAGATAAGCATCTGGTGTTACATGTTGGTGCATTCAGCTCTACATTGTAGAAAACTGAAATGTTTATTTAACATCTATGTCTTTTATGCAAGGAATAAATAAATGAAATCTAATTCATCTCTGTCAAAACAATGTCTAACTGAAATGTTTATTTAACATCTCTGTCAAAACAATGTCTAACATGTGTGGAATAATTTTCCACAGCCAGGGCCACTCCTTCACCCAAAAAAAATATATATATATATATATATATACTAAAGCTCAATGAAAATACCAAGGAGAATTTCTTAAGTTAATATGATGCAATTAATTTATTGGAAGTGGGTTGATGGGGACCAAAGAGGTTTAAAGAACATGGAAATTGAGGGAATCGACCTTGATTAATTAACATTAGCATTCATTAATCTGCAATAGTTTTGGTCAGAACTACAAGAATAAATGAAAGTCCAAAGTAATATAGAATAACCTCTAATTGAAATATTTTAAGGGTAATGGTTAAAGCAAACAAGTTGGATCTTAGGACTTTATTATTTCAAATTTATGTATAGTAATGATTATATATGCAGAAGATTCTCATAGCGAGTGAGTTTGATTAATCTAACATATTAAAGATGTGAAATGAGTTGAATTGCATGTCTTATAAAGCCACGGCTCTTCGGTATTTGGAAAGACATAAAATTAAGGCGTTAAACTGCATCTCTTAATTACAATAGTTTTGAAAAATAGTTTTTTTTTTAACTCAAAACATGGTAACACTAAAAATTACTAATGCGGAAAGCTGATAATGACCAGCGAATTACTTCGCTTATCATGAAAATTGGCTTGTTGAATACGCAGCAAGCTTTAAGATGGTCTAAACTTCCCAAAAAAAATAAATGCTTTGTTAAAAAACATTACAGATCTTAAAACAGAGACTGAGAGCTATTATTAATGCATAATTACACTGTAAATCATAGATAAACATCATGATTACCATATCTCTGCGAATTCTTGCGAAACTTTTTGAACCTACTGTGTGCAAGAGCGTTTGACTGTTTCGAGTTTCCTTATTCTTTTCACTTGCTTTCTACATAATCATAGAACTTCTAATAAGTAAATTGTAATAAGTAAATTGCAACAAGAGAAACTATAGTAGTAAAAAGAAAGAAAGAATACTGAGTATGTGGGAACAACAAGCAAGCAAGCGGATTGTAAATATTCATCTAAACAGAAACTTTTTTTAAATGCATGTATATATATGTTGAGGTAATTAGATGTATATTTTGTATAAAGTATTTAACAAGTTATCTATTTGAAAAAAAATTGATACATAGCACTAACGTGATTCCACAATCTAGTCGTATCAAACATGATCTGATAATTCTCATTTGTGTTTTAGTCATCAACTATTTCACCAACTATTAAGGTTTTTGTGTAACCTGTTTTGAGTGATATTCTCGGTGTTATTCGCAAACAACTGGAGGGATTGTATGATTTTTTTGACCCCTATTTTGGAGGCCAAGCTTTTTCCAAAGAAAATTATGAGGTAGTCTTCTTTAGTAGCTGTTTGTTAATAAGAAATATAGCACAGTTTTTGGTCAAAGGACAATAGTTTTCCATTACCAATGAGCAACAGGTACAATCAAGCATACAGGCATAACTACAAGTCTGCATAGCACAAGATCAGGATGATATCAAGGCTAACCATATGAAAATACACCTCTCAAACAAAAAACTCAACAAGTATTAATAACACCCCAATATAAACGCCAGATCACTCTTATATACAGCATAACCAGTCCACCCAGTGTCTGAACTTTGGAAATAGTAGCATGTAAAACAAATACACGCACGTGCAAGCTCACTAGCTTCACAATCGTCCATTAACAGTGCACATTGCAACTAACAGTATTATAGCTAGATGAGAGAATTCTTTTACTGATGCTACACTTGTCCTAGTTAAATGCATCAGGGCAACGATGATCTAGATTAATTTCTAAATTTAGAGGCTCGAGCACATTTGCCAAACCAACAGTACTGTACTTAATTAACTTTACCAGTAAACTCATTAGTATAATTGCAATGGAATTATAATAAAGATTAGCAGCTAATAATTGAGATGCAGCATGTCACTCCCCTGTCCTTGTGTAAAAAGAAAGAAAGAATACTAAGTATTTAGCCTTATAATTTAAATATAGGTCTTAATGATGATAACTAAAATTACTAATATGAACCTACAGGGATAGTATGTTCAAAAGAAACAAAACAATGATATTAATAGAAAATTAAATTCTTACCCTTGCATTTTGAGAATGCCAAATCTTTAGTAAAGCTCTAAATTGACCCTTGGGAACAATCTTGGGGCGCTTTTTCCATCTTTCTCCATCATTTTTTAAACCTGTAAAGTATTGACGTTTTAGCAAGCACTTCCATCGCCTCCATGCACTATTAATTGTTTGCAAGGTCCATTTTTGTCCTGAATCGGCAATTGAATACTTCTCCTACAATGAAATAACAATATACAAGTTAAAATCTACCTTGTCATTACACAAAATGATTTTTTTTGTGCTATATCATACCTTCACATATTCCCACAAACTATCTTTGTCTTCTTTCCCAATGTCGTGCCAATTCTTATCTAGTGGTGTTCGTCTTGGATTTCTTCCAAGGGTACCCAGAAAACTACTAAGTTCATTTAAGATATTATCTGTCGGTCCAATAGGTATCCCAAATTTGTCTAAAATTACAACTGGACGTGCCTCTATACCTCGTTCATGTACTTTTAAACACTTAGTTGGCCCTCTATGATTTTTGGGCTGTTGTACCTCTCTTTGTTCATCTTCCCTTATCTCTTCATCTTCGTCTTCGTCAACCTCTCTCTGTTCATCTTCTCTTATCTCCTCATCTACATTGACCTCTCTCTCTTCATCTTCCCTTATCACCTCATTCTCAGACTCTATAAAATCTTCCTCATAATCTCCATTTTATGATTCAATATTCTCTAACTCTTTCTCTTTCTCCATCAATTTGTTTTTATCAAGTTTCTGAGGATCTTTCCGTCCCTTTCCTGATCGAGTCTTCACTTGCAAATGATTCTTTCCAAGATGTTTTTTCTTTTGCCTTTTCTCCTCTTGGACCTTATGTCCCTGTAATGATTTAGTCTTTGTCAATTGCACATCTACACTCTGAACTTGCTTTCGCAACTTGCTTGTGACGTGCTTTATTTTCATCCTTGGTACATTGCTTCCATCAAGTTGTTGGCTGCAGGATTTGGATTGATTCATCCTCGCAAGATTTGTCACATGTAGAGGAGGATAAAAGATCTTTTTACGCTTCGTTGCAAGAGGTTTGCTCATGACCTACAAAATAAGAAATGCAAGGACTTTAAATGGATTGTATTAAGTTGAAGGATTGTAAAAAAAGAAATCTGTTGCAACGAAGGACGAAAAAATAGATAAAAAGTAAGAAACAGTGAGTATTATCCTGCAACGAATTTTGGAAGTCACATTTAACTTCCGAATCAGTGAGTATATGGGACAATATTCTAACAACTTAAAGTATTGCGGATTGTATCACAGAGACTAGCAACAAGCAAATTAGTATAGAGGGTAACAAAGTGCACGGGGCTCCTACCATCATAATATAGAATTCAGGAGGGTCAAATACCATTGGTCTTAACCGCTACATGTTGAGAGGTTGTTTACAGGAATTAAAAGCAACTCACTGATTCTAAAGGAACAGATTAAAATCATCAAGGAACATATTAAAATCATCCCCATACGATATCATACATCATAGGCAAAGTATTTCTACAAGGAATACTGATTAAGGTAAATACACATCGTTTTTCTTAAGTATCATGATAACATAAAGAAAAGCAAAACCAAACAGGTTATAGAATAATAATATCTAGATTATACTTTCCAAACTGCTAGATTATGGGATCAGTAATGACCCATACATTTTTGTGTATAATAGTGTAGAAATAGTTTAATTAAAATTATCCAGTTACAAGGGGATAGCATCACTACTTCAATATGAAAAAGCTGCGTGCCTTGATCAGATCGATGATCATGAGCTGAAAGCCCAAAGCCTTAAATATGATAAACTCAGCTACAGGTGGATAATAGGAGACTACGTATTCAAAAAGTAAATAAAAAGTTAACTGAGAAACTCACATTTAACTTCAGAATCAGTGAGTCCACTTTTGACTCAAGCCTGAACTAGAGAAAGCAATCCAAAGGCCAGTTACCAAAAATCTCGGAAACTCAAGAGTTCAGTCACTAAGAATGCTAAAATTCTTACTCTTCACAGTTGCATATATGCTTAAAACAACATATAACAGTCAAATTGGAATTTGATTTCTTTTGTAAGATTAATGTGTCTTTTATAGCAATATAGGTGCGCACGGAACAGGAAACAGCAGTAAAAAATTGTAAGATGTAGTTATATATCATACCACTTGAATCTATACGTACATCCTTCAAACTACGGAGTTGTGTGGACCTCTTTAAACTAAGACTTCAGATGACATGACTGTAACATACAATTCAAATTGACAAAGAAATTGTTCAGGGGGGACAATAAACCAAAAATGATGCAGATCAATATTCGATTGATATGCTGTCCAGTTCCTGCGCTTTTGCTTAAGCTATAGCTTTTTATGTCTATGCTCGGCTCATGTACTGTCCGGTTCTCGTGTCAACCATTATCTTTTTACACTATTACTTTTCTACCCCTTGATGCAATTAATTTTCGACCCCTCAAATAACCAAGTCTGACACGTTCTTAACGCTTTTCTAAAGTTCACTGTATCTATGACATGCTTAATGGAGCATTTCCTAATTTTTTTTTTAAGCAAAGAATGCTTCAGAAGTTATTATGCAAGAGCTGTTTTATAAAGAGCTATTTTATGTCCTAATTTTTTTTAAGCAAAGAATGCTTCAGAAGTTATTATGCAAGCTAGCATGTTACCAAGAAATAAATAATATGAAGAGTTGTTTTATGTCCATGATGAACTAATATAGGATTTTTAAAAAGAATTTACCTCAAATGATCTCTTCTCTTTTGAACTTGATCTAGAATCACCAACTGTTTCTATCACTCAAAGAGAAGTGATTAACTAGTAATAAATGAAAAGAATGATCAAGCTAAAACCCACAAAAACTGAAACTGGCATTCTTTGTATAATGAAGTGTATTATTATACATACAAGTATATTTATGCCGTGCACGTGTCTTCGAGATCCCCAGTCTTGGCAGCACTCCAATGCAACCCGAAACACAAATCCCAACCCAAACACAATGAGAACACCTACATTCCAAGAGTTTTCATCGATGAAATCAAGTTTGTTAGTAGTGAAAGTAAAGAAATTTATGCACACAACATTGCATGAGTGGAAGGATAAACAAAAACATGAATGAAACTAGCAACAGTTTATATGCTTCATTGCTTTAAGGATCTGTTGTGTGTCATTATGTGTCATGTTTCGTGCTTATATGCTTCATTGCCCGTGAAAAATATTTCGGCACACAGTTTGCCTCTCAGGACATCCAACCAAACAAATAAACCCAACATCTTTACATACTACGTGTATCCATATTCCATAAACCAAGTCAAGTTTCACACCAGCTGTACCAAGAGCACAGTTTGTGTCTAATAGAAACAGAACCAACAAACTCAAAAAGGTATGAAGTGTGGTCTAGCAAAACCCGGATATACGACCTAGACCCAAACTGATCCTCGAACCCAACAAAATCAATTCAGGGCACAATCTCTCACTCTGGCTGTCGGTGAATTAGCAGATAATGCATGACTAATACAAGTTTGTTGTAAAATACTGAGGATAGAGTTCTCAAAGCACTGCAAAAACGCTAAAAGCAAAATACCAAAAAAAAAAAATCGTTACTGAAAGGAGTTTGTTGTAAAAGACTCATGCTAACTTCAACACGGTGTTCGTTTTCACTAGCTTGTTTAAGCTTTGCTGATGTACCTTTCACTAGCTGTCCAATATGTAATCTCGTCTTGTGCCTGCGAGAAATGGTCAATGTTAGAACATGGCCTGTCCAATATGTAATCTCGTCTTGTGCCTGCGAGAAATGGTCAATGTTAGAACATGGCACACAAAAGGCCATCAATTCTACTGCGAGATAAACTGATGGTCAATGTTAGAACATGGCACACAAAAGGCCATCAATTCTACTGCGAGATAAACTGATCTAGCAAGCTAAACATGGCACACAAAATGCAAGTGATATATTTTTCAAGGAATTGGGCATCATTGAATCTCTAAAAACCTCTTTAATACCGGAGGTGTGGCCTGTCAATTTTTGAAAAAAGCATGTCACCTTTCTGATTTCTGATTTCTTTTTGCTAGTATAAGTTTCTACTTTTTTACTAGAGAAGTACGCTATGACACAGCTGTTTCCTTTCTTATTAGTCATATTTGGCTGTTAGCAATGTCAAATCAGGTGCATTTTAGTGTAGACGAGATAATTGAAATTTATTTTTTGTTTCAGGGTTACCTAGATGAGCAATTTGACCAGCTGGAAGAATTATAGGATGAAGTTAATCCCAATTTTGTGGAAGAGGTTGTGACCTTGTTCTTTAGGGACTCCTCTAGGTTACTCAATAACATTGATCAGGCTCTGTAAGTAACCACAATATACAGAACAAAGATGCCCTTATAAAATCTAGACAGTAGTCCGAAATTGTTTTTCTTTTTCATGCAGTGAGAAGTGCCCCAATGATTTCCGCAAGCTGGACACATACATGCATCAGCTTCAGGGTAGTACTTCCAGGTAAAAAACTTCACATTCTATTCAGTATTTATATTGCCAAGGTGGAGAGGGTCTCATTTTGAACAGGTACACAAAAGGCCATCAACAACTAAACAATTTCCCTAATAGAAAGGGGAAGAAACTGTAGAAATCAGAAATAAAAGGAACGAGGTACCTGAGAGTACAAAGGAGAGTGAGATCGGAAACGGATTACCTGCGAGCTCGACGACCTATATCGGAGATGAGATCGGAGACGAGACCAACAGCTCGACGAATAGATTAGTTACAAGATCGACGACGAAATCAGAGTTGAGATCGGAGACGATGAGATCGGAAAACGGCGAAGAGATTAGCGACGAGTTCAGCGATGAGATCGACGAATTTCGGCCATGGCGATCTCCCAGAGCGAACGAAGAGGGAGATATTTTAGAAAGGGGTGATGATTTGAGAGAGAGAGAGAGAGAAAGAGGGATATTTGGTAAAGCGGTGAGAAAAAATAAGACTTAGTTTCAGTGTTAAGCCCAAACCAGCCTATAAAATCGGCCCAAATCAAAATTATTGGGCCTAGCGAAGCGGTTTTTGTAAACCGTTGTCAAAGCGTTGCAAAACCGCCCCCATAGATACCTAGCGCAACGGTCATAAGCGTTGCACTAGAACTGTTGCGTTAGAGCAAATATGTGGTAGTGCATTGACTGAACGAAGTGATGCATCATGATATTCATTCTCACGCTCGAGTGTAAACTCATATGTTTTGCATGAATACGTGTTTACGTGAGCATGTGAAAACCATGATTAGTTTTTTCAAGTGACAATTTATGTGTATTTATGTGTCTCAAAGTTAATTTTGATCTAATTTTAATATTATCTGAGACATTGTCCATGTGGATAAAGTTTATTTATGGACATAACAATATAGGATATTTATAAGTCTTTATTTGCACTTAATAATAGAAATCCATATAATTACGTACAGTTACCTATTGCAATATTTGTGTTCATTTAGGGAATCAATGGTCTATTTAATTGCCAGTGGCCCCCCCCCCCCCCCCCCAAAAAAAAAAAAAAAAAGTGAAAAAAAAAACAGAATGAAGATGCTTATATGACAATCTTCCCTTATCATCTAACTTTGCCTTGGCCTAGGAGAAAATTAGAAAATTATTCCATACTGCACGAGCTTAAAATATATCAGCAGTACCTATTTGCATTCTATTTCTTGACAGGGTCCTCTCGCCATTAGTTGTTTCTTTGAGGAGTCTGCCCTAACTTGAACATGCTTGAGGTTAGTTGAATATTAGTGGGCAGAGCGCTGAATAATCAGAAGAATTAAAACTTATCCTAAGCAGCTGACACCATCTTAATATTTAGATTGATCTCCCTTTTGAATCTTTTATTGCAACAGAAGCAATCCCTCTGTAAATGTTGCCATCATAGGCATTTTGTAGCCTTTCAGGCTACAGTCATATGCCAAGAAACAATCTCTGTGAATGTTTTTTTTATGTTCTGTTAACTTTTTTGTTTGGCTAGTTGCTTTGTCTGTTAAATCCTTTTAACTGTCTTTTTTTGTCAAAAGTAGAACGAATTTGTAGAATTTTTGATGATGCAGGGAGTACAGTTCCATCCAGAGAGCATCATAACCGAAGAGGGCAAGACAATAATAATAAACTTCATCAAGCACATTGAGAAATTCGAGATGAAATCTCAACACTTGAGATTTTAGGCTGTATCCAAGAGACCTTCTCGCAAGGTGAATGAAAGGTTATCCTTATTTGTCGTGGGGCTACATGTTGGCTTTTGTTGTGAAAGAATAAAACATCTGTTGGTCATAATCTTCTGTAGCACAATAACCCTAGTTGATTATATGTAATTTTATCAGAAAAAGAATGCCTTTTTTCTTATCAACTTGTTAGTCAAAAACTGGACCTTCACTAGCATAAGGGCATGGCTATAACTAGTGTGTTTTAATAATCTCAAATGAAGTTTTTGCCTTCTTGCTTTTCCCTTCTCTTTCTTTAGTCAGTTTTCAAGCTTGTCGTTTTGATCAAAACAGATCTAGATGACATGTGATTTCTTCTTTTCTTATATATATTTTTAATTTATATATATATAGGGAGAGCAAATATGGGCCGTCCATTTCACAAACCCCTTAATCTCAACTGTCCAAATCAAAACCCCTCCTTCAAAAGAAACCAATCTTCACAAATCAGATGATTCAGATCTAGACGCCGCCCCCTCCTCTCTGAGCTCTCTCCTCCAGGTAACATTTTAATGTTTTGTTAGTTATATTTTGTTCCCTAGCATTTTAGGGATTCAAATTGGAATTTATTGATATTTTGTATATAAAGAAGTGTCATGTGTTTACTTTTCGCACAGGGCCCCTAAAATCTCAGAACCGGCCCTGGGACCGGTTAGTATGTTTCCATGGCAGATGTACACAGTTAGATCATGTTGTGCTTGTATCCATGATCTGTATAGTTTTGGTAAACAAATGCATGTAGAAAGACCACCAATTTGCGTCGACGACTTGGGTAAAGTTCGATGTATCCTTTTGAGCCTCTTAATATACCATCTCATGGTTAATATCGCAATGACTAGGTAAGCATTCCATTGGTGATTTAGGTTTTTTTTTCCCCTTTTTTTGGCCCCGAGTCGTATCCCCATACAATATATAATATATAATGGTTGTATGTGAAATCTACGCTGATAATTTTACAAGTTTAAGCTTCTTAGTGGCATCCTGTGACGCCCCTGGTTACACACGAGGTTGCAGTCCAAGGTGAATTCAGAGATGTCAAACATGTCATGGACTTACACAGTGCAATAACACGTTTCACCATCACAGTAATATCTCCCTAGTAGAATCAATTAAGAACAGTGCAAGTACAAGCATATACGAGAAAAGTAAAAATACAATGAACATGCCAAGAGAAAGAAATATCCAAAGAATATGATCATGTCTCAACTGAATAAAAAGAGTACAACTGATGAACTAAAATAAATGTAAAATATCTCAATACACGGAGTCAACTGAAATATTACTAAGGCTCTCGGCCATCAAAATAAAATACAAGTTTATAAATCACTAAACAAATACTAAACTAATATGGAGCACAAGCTGTCTATCAAAAAATAACGGCGACTATGCATAAACTCCGTCAACCTGTGGCTCTCCGAAACTCTGATCCGCTGCCTGAAAAGAAAGAGAAATAACAGTGTCCGAGCGCTAGCAAGATTACCTCCATCCGCCCCCAGGGGAAAGGGCTGCTACATATGATAGAGACTCTACCTATAGATGCATAGTCTACCTAAATCATTTACCCTGAACTAGATGGGGTTAATACTTAGAAATCCACAATATGAGACTGGTACATCGAGCGAAATAATCCGAACAAGGAAACCCTCATGTATATACCATATATATGTCTCAAATTATGAATCGTTAAATATCAACTCCAAAACAAAAAATAAAGGAATAAAGAAATGCAATACTAAAATGTCAACCAAACCAAGTCATATATGTCAACCCAACATCTCATGCTACCCTTAGATAGTCAATACGAATATCAGTACATAATCCTGTGAAATCCATAATATCATATACCCTGTCACAAAAGAACTCAATGGCGAACCACGTAAATAAATGATCTCCCGCCTAAAACTTGAGTTGTCCTAGGTTTCACAGTACTATCTCTTGTAAAGTTCTATGGTATCATCGCATCATTATGCAGAACGAACTACCTATTCAGGCATCCTAAATAAATACGGCCCACTAGCCTCATCGCATCACCGTGCGGAACGGACTACCTCCTAGGGTATCCTACGGGTATGGCTCATTAGCCTCATCACATCACCGTGTGGAATGGACTATCCCCTCAGACATCCTCATCGCATCACCTAAATAGGAAACCCAGTCAGACTGGAAAAATAATCTTTAGTATTTTAGCTGTAATTTTTTCGTCCGATCTTAGAATGAGGTGATTTAAGATGTGTTGGAAAGATACTGAAGAGACCTACAAATTTTATCTTTTGAATTTTTACAGATTCGAATTATATCGGTGTGTAATGCATATATACTCTTAACTGGTCATTTTTCCAGATTCGAATTGCATCGGTGTATAATGCATATATACTCTTAATTGATCTCAAATTAATTACTATCATGCTCATTCATAATTAAATGATATTTATCATAATATAACTCATGTAATACTATTTACAATAGTATTTTTTTTTTAATTTACGGGATTTTACATTCATCCCCCCTTAAAAGAATTTCATCCTCGAAATTCCGCAAACGTATATTTAGAGATTAATAATATGATAAAAGCACATTGGGGGAATAAACCAGACAAGGAAACCCTTATATACACATCTCGTATCATTAATCCCAAGATAGGTATCACAAGCAATATTTATACTTAACGATCTAGAATGTAAATACTCTCACTTAACCCCTAATTAAACGGAACTAGTACGTCGGGTGAAAAATCCAAATAAGGAACCCCCAATGTATATATCATATGTTCCGAATGATTAGGAGCTAAGTATTAATACTCCTATTCTAGTGTTAAATGTAAATGTGGCTATATAGATAATATGAACACAAATAAATCATAGTTAATATTTTACCTACTTGAACAGGTGTGGGTAGTCGCGACGCATATCCTCCTTGCGCTCCCAAGAAGCTTCCTTAGCTCCTTTCTGATTCCATTGTATTTTAACTAATGAAATCATCTTATTTCTAAGCTCCTTACCCGCTCTGGCAAGAATACAAAATGGAATTTTAATGATTGTCAAATCAGCCTGAATGTCTAAGTCTGATGCGTCAAACACTCTCTGCAGCTCCTCGTCGCGTAAATACTTCTTGATCATCAAAACCTAGGAAATATCGTGTACACCCGACATTAATGTGGGACGATCTAGTTGATACGAAACCGCTCCAACACGGTCAACGACCCTAAATGGTCCAACGTAACTCATGCAAGAATAATCCTAATGAATTATAAAGTATAAAGCAAGATTTAAACCTAATGATTATTTGACAGAGATTATCTCAACTATAATTAAAATCTTAAATTAATCAAATTAGGGTTAACATCCTAATTAACCAAAATTCTCAAAATAAACATGAACTATTAACATGATTAACACTATCATGATTTACAGATTAACTTAATACAGATATAACTTGTTTAAACACATTCATGTCATTAAGATCTCACAAACCTAGGGTTTAACCACAACTAATTGACATGTAAACTCAATTAATTGCATAACTAGGGTTTAAGCATGATTAGAACATGATTAACATGTTAAAAATAAAATTAAAAGTAACCCTAATAATCATGATCATATTACTATCATAAACAGCAAAGGATTTTTATAGATCTATCATAGGTTAAAGATTTATCATTAAAAATCTAAACTTTATCATGTCGGGTTAAACTTTAACATAAAAAACATCACTTTAACCATTAAAAATCTAACTTTACTAAGGGAAAGGTTTGGAGGAAGATGATCTTGCCTCAACTATGTGCTGCAACTCCTAAACACGTTTGCAAGACATTCTCCTCGCCAAAAACTACAAAGCCTCGCCTTTCTCTCGACAAACGCCTCGAGATCTCTCCCAAAACTCATAATTTAGGGTTAGGGTTTGAGGAGGAAGATGGCTTGTGTAAATCTCACATGAAAGAGAGTAAAAAGAGCTTTAAAACGAGTATATATACGCATATATACAACTGGGTTTGAAACAAAATGAATCCAACCCAAAATCTAAAAGAATCTGGAAATCAGCATGATTAGTCGACTAGTACCATTATTAGTCGACTAATGGCCTTACCAGTCGACTACTAATGTTAGTAGTCGACTACTAACACTCAAATCAGTCTGTTTGGAAAAATAATCTTTGGTATTTTGGCTGTAACTTTCTCGTCCGACCTCAGAATGAGATGATTTAAGATGATTTAGAAAGCTATTAAAGAGACATACAACTTTTGTCTTATGAGTTTTTCTAGATTCAAACTATATCTATATGTAAAATATAAATACTCTTAACTGGTCGTTTTTTCCAGATTCAGGCTCGTGCATGTCGTGCATGATTTCACTCCTATATTCATATTTATACATTGGATTGATCTCAAATCAATCCCTAGCATACTCAAACATCAATATATATTATTTATCACCATATAACATATTTATTATTATTAAGATCATAATATATTCAAAATTACGGGGTTTTACATTCTTCCTCCCTTAAAAGAATTTCGTCCCCGAAATTCCGTAATTATATCTTAGAGATTAATAATACCAAAAAAGCATATTGAGGGGATAATCCAGATAAGGAAAACCTCACATATACATCTCGTACTATTAATCTTCATATATGGAACATAGCAATATCTACACTTAACCATCTAAAATACGAATACTCCCACTTAACTCCTAACTAAGCGGAACAAGTACGTCAGGCAAAAAAATCCAAACAAAGAACCCCTCATATATATACCATATGTTCCGAATGATTAGGAGTTAAGTGTTAATATCCTCGTTCTAGCGTTAAAAATTAATATGACCATATAGATAATCATGAACACCAATCAAAATCAATCAATTTACCTACTCAAACAGGTACGGGTAGTCGCGACATATAACATCTTTGCGCTCCCCTCAGAATCCTCCTTAATATCTATACCTAATAGTTTAGAATGTAAATACTCCCACTTAACCCCTAACTAAGCGAAACTAGTACGTCGGGTGAAAAATCCAAATAAGGAACCCCTCATATATATACCATGTGTTCCGAATAATTAGGAGCTAAGTGCTAATACCATAATTCTAGCGTTAAATATAGATATGAGCATATAGATAATCATAAACACAGGCAG